CGGGATACCGGGAAACCGGGATACCGGGATACCGGGATACCGGGATACCGGGATACCGGGATACCGGGAAACTGGGATACCGGGATACCGGGAAACCGGGATACCGGGATAATGGGATACCGGGATACCGGGAAACCGGGATACCGGGATACCGGGATACCGGGATACCGGGATACCGAGAAACCGGGAAACCGGGATACCGGGATACCGGGATACCGGGAAACCGGGAAACCGGGATACCGGGATACCGGGATACCGGGAAACCGGGATACCGGGATACCGGGATACCGGGAAACCGGGATACCGGGATACCGGGATACCGGGATACCGGGATACCGAGAAACCGGGATACCGGGATACCGGGATACCGGGATACCGGGATGCCGGGATGCCGGGAAACCGGGAAACCGGAAAACCGGGAAACCGGGAAACCGGGATACCGGGAAACCGGGATACCGGGATACCGGGATACCGGGAAACCGGGAAACCGGGATACCGGGATACCGGGATACCGGGATACCGGGAAACCGGGAAACCGGGAAACCGGGAAACCGGGATACCGGGAAACCGGGATACCGGGATACCGGGAAACCGGGAAACCGGGATACCGGGAAACCGGGATACCGGGATACCGGGAAACCGGGATACCGGGATACCGGGATACCGGGATACCGGGATACCGGGAAACCGGGAAACCGGGATACGGGGATTCCGGGATACCGGGATACCGGGATACCGGGAGACCGGGATACCGGGATACCGGGATACCGGGATACCGGGATACCGGGAAACCGGGAAACCGAGATACCGGGATACTGGGAAACCGGGAAACCGGGATACCGCGATACCGGGATACCGGGATACCGGGAAACCGGGATACCGGGATACCGGGATACCGGGAAACCGGGAAACCGGAAAACCGGGAAACCGGGATACCGGGAAACCGGGATACCGGGATACCTGGATACCGGGAAACCGGGAAACCGGGAAACCGGGATACCGGGAAACCGGGATACCGGGAAACCGGGAAACCGGGATACCGGGAAACCGGGAAACCGGGATCCCGGGATACCGGGAAACCGGGGTACCGGGAAACCGGGAAACCGGGAAACCGGGAAACCGGGATACCGGGAAACCGGGATACCGGGATACCGGGAAACCGGGAAACCGGGATACAGGGAAACCGGGATACCGGGAAACCGGGAAACCGGGATACCGGGATACCGGTATACCGGGAAACCGGGATACCGGGATACGGGGATACCGGGAAACCGGGATACCGGGATACCGGGATACCGGGATACCGGGATACCGAGAAACCGGGATACCGGGATACCGAGATACCGGGATACCGGGATACCGGGATACCGGGATACCGGGAAACCGGGAAACCGGAAAACCGGGAAACCGGGAAACCGGGATACCGGGAAACCGGGATACCGGGATACCGGGATACCGGGAAACCGGGAAACCGGGATACCAGGATACCGGGATACCGGGATACCGGGAAACCGGGAAACCGGGAAACCGGGAAACCGAGATACCGGGAAACCGGGATACCGGGATACCGGGAAACCGGGAAACCGGGATACCGGGAAACCGGGAAACCGGGATACCGGGATACCGGGAAACCGGGATACCGGGATACCGGGATACCGGGATACCGGATACCGGGAAACCGGGAAACCGGGATACGGGGATTCCGGGATACCGGGATACCGGGATACCGGGAGACCGGGATACCGGGATACCAATACCGGGATACCGGGATACCGGGAAACCGGGAAACCGGGATACCGGGAAACCGGGATACCGGGATACCGGGAAACCGGGAAACCGAGATACCGGGATACTGGGAAACCGGGAAACCGGGATACCGGGAAACCGGGATACCGGGAAACCAGGACACAGGGACACAGGGATACCGGGAAACCGGGACACCGGGACACCGGGATACCGGGATACCGAGAAACCGGGAAACCGGGATACCGGGATACCGGGATACCGGGATACCGGGATACCGGGATACCGGGATACCGGGAAACCGGGAAACCGGGATACCGGGATACCGGGAAACCGGGATACTGGAAAACCGGGAAACCGGGATACCAGGATACCGGGATACCGGGAAACCGGGATACCGGGATACCGGGATACCGGGATACCGGGATACCGGGATACCGGGAAACCGGGAAACTGGGATACCGGGATACCGGGATACCGGGAAACCGGGATACCGGGATACTGGGATACCGGGATACCGGGAAACCGGGATACCGGGATACCGGGATACCGGGATACCGGGATACCGAGAAACCGGGAAACCGGGATACCGGGATACCGGGATACCGGGAAACCGGGAAACCGGGATACCGGGATACCGGGATACCGGGAAACCGGGATACCGGGATACCGGGATACCGGGAAACCGGGATACCGGGATACCGGGATACCGGGATACCGGGATACCGAGAAACCGGGATACCGGGATACCGGGATACCGGGATACCGGGATACCGGGATACCGGGATGCCGGGAAACCGGGAAACCGGAAAACCGGGAAACCGGGAAACCGGGATACCGGGAAACCGGGATACCGGGATACCGGGATACCGGGAAACCGGGATACCGGGATACCGGGATACCGGGATACCGGGAAACCGGGAAACCGGGAAACCGGGAAACCGGGATACCGGGAAACCGGGATACCGGGATACCGGGAAACCGGGAAACCGGGATACCGGGAAACCGGGAAACCGGGATACCGGGATACCGGGAAACCGGGATACCGGGATACCGGGATACCGGGATACCGGGATACCGGGAAACCGGGAAACCGGGATACGGGGATTCCGGGATACCGGGATACCGGGATACCGGGAGACCGGGATACCGGGATACCGGGATACCGGGATACCGGGATACCGGGAAACCGGGAAACCGAGATACCGGGATACTGGGAAACCGGGAAACCGGGATACCGCGATACCGGGATACCGGGATACCGGGAAACCGGGATACCGGGATACCGGGATACCGGGAAACCGGGAAACCGGAAAACCGGGAAACCGGGATACCGGGAAACCGGGATACCGGGATACCTGGATACCGGGAAACCGGGAAACCGGGAAACCGGGATACCGGGAAACCGGGATACCGGGAAACCGGGAAACCGGGATACCGGGAAACCGGGAAACCGGGATCCCGGGATACCGGGAAACCGGGGTACCGGGAAACCGGGAAACCGGGAAACCGGGAAACCGGGATACCGTGAAACCGGGATACCGGGATACCGGGAAACCGGGAAACCGGGATACCGGGAAACCGGGATACCGGGAAACCGGGAAACCGGGATACCGGGATACCGGTATACCGGGAAACCGGGATACCGGGATACGGGGATACCGGGAAACCGGGATACCGGGATACCGGGATACCGGGATACCGGGATACCGAGAAACCGGGATACCGGGATACCGAGATACCGGGATACCGGGATACCGGGATACCGGGATACCGGGAAACCGGGAAACCGGAAAACCGGGAAACCGGGAAACCGGGATACCGGGAAACCGGGATACCGGGATACCGGGATACCGGGAAACCGGGAAACCGGGATACCAGGATACCGGGATACCGGGATACCGGGAAACCGGGAAACCGGGAAACCGGGAAACCGAGATACCGGGAAACCGGGATACCGGGATACCGGGAAACCGGGAAACCGGGATACCGGGAAACCGGGAAACCGGGATACCGGGATACCGGGAAACCGGGATACCGGGATACCGGGATACCGGGATACCGGATACCGGGAAACCGGGAAACCGGGATACGGGGATTCCGGGATACCGGGATACCGGGATACCGGGAGACCGGGATACCGGGATACCAATACCGGGATACCGGGATACCGGGAAACCGGGAAACCGGGATACCGGGAAACCGGGATACCGGGATACCGGGAAACCGGGAAACCGAGATACCGGGATACTGGGAAACCGGGAAACCGGGATACCGGGATACCGGGATACCGGGATACCGGGAAACCGGGATACCGGGATACCGGGATACCGGGAAACCGGGAAACCGGAAAACCGGGAAACCGGGATACCGGGAAACCGGGATACCGGGATACCTGGATACCGGGAAACCGGGAAACCGGGAAACCGGGAAACCGGGATACCGGGATACCGGGATATCGGGATATCGGGAAACTGGGAAACCGGGAATCTGGGAATCCGGGAAACCGGGAAACTGGGAATCCGGGATTTCGGGAAACTGGGATACCGGGATACCAGGAAACCGGGATACCATAATACCGGGATACCGGGATACCAGGATACCGGGAAACCGGGAAACCGGGATACCGGGATACCGGGATACCGGGATTCCGGGATACCGGGATACCGGGATTCCGGGATACCGGGAAACCGGGAAACTGGGAAACCATGGGAACCGGGATAATTGGGAACCGGGTAACTGGGAAACCAAGGAAACCGGGAAATGGGGAAACCGGAAAACCGGGAATCCGAGATGCCGGGATACCGGGAAACCGGGAAATTGGGAAGCCGGGAATCGGGACGCATGGCGGCAGATGACGCATAGCCGATTGCCCCGATTTCCTTCGCGAGAGGAAGAACCGATGCTAAGTACCTATGTAAAATCGTTAGCGCCGGGCTTGTCGCAAAAGGATCTGAATCCACATATGTGGAATACAAGCTCTGATACCATGTCAAAACTGAGTTTAGAATGGAGTACATCCAAAATAAGCAAGGTATGGATGGGAAGTGAATCGGGGGCAATCCCTAGGGATTGGGGGTAATTCCAAGGTAATCTCCAATTGGTGGGTTGGAGATTGCACATTTGGGTTTGGTTGGTATGTGTGTGTACGCCCAACCAAACACAAAGTGCAAACTACACTAAGCTAGAATATAAAAAGTACAAGTACAAAAAGTGAGATTGAGGGCAACACTAATAGAGCCATGACATGTGCTCACAGCATGGCGAGCCATGGCATGTCAGAAACGACATCGAGTCCAATGCTGAGCTGATTGCCGCCCACAGACCTGCATGGCAGACCAATGCATGGTGGGATAGGTGTGATCCATGGAGCAATAGCTCGGGATGCATGGTAGCATAACATGTGATCCGATGTGGGGCAGCATGTGGGGCAGCAATAAGACAAGCCAACAGTCAAAGATGGGGTGAGCCTTGCAGGCAAAGGTAGTAGCAAAGGCATATCAGATCAGACCAGATTGGGGTTGCCAGCCATACAGATGCATGCCTCACCACCTGTCAACTCACGTGTCAACTCACGAGTCAACTCATGTGTCAACTCATGTATCGATTCACGTACAGTTCACGCATGTACGCCAGGCCAGTGAAGGTTCTTGGAATGCCTCCCACGAACCGGTTGTTCCGCAACTCCCTGAACCATATAGAACCGAATAGAACCGAATGCAGACAATCAATGCCCGTTCAGAATATTGCAGGTTTCAGATGAGAGGGTACTGCAGCTACGCGACTCACAGCTCCATGAGGTTTGGAAGCGATCCGAGGAAGTCCGGAATGGGTCCGCCAAACTGGTTGTTGCCAATGTTCCTGCGCGGCGGGGAGAGGAAAGCAACACACGCGAGATATGTGCGAGATGTGTGGTGTGGCTCGTGCATGGCACATGCGAGATGCGTGTGATCCATGCAGTGCAGCTAGCGCATAGCGCACACACACACATACGAGGCAAGAGGCCCATCAGAGCTTACAGAGCCTCTAAATTGGACGAGAAGACTTGGGGGAGCGTTCCTGAGAGCCTGTTGGCGTTGAGATTGCTGGGGACAGGGAAACACAGAGCAAGCCAGAAAGGGCAGGGAATGTCGGATGGAGCAGTGTGCATAGAGAAAGGAATGCACTCAATTCACTAGATTGTGGAAGAAGATTCAGAAAACGGTACTCGAGAAATTAGGTGCGTGTGATTTAATAAGGCGCAGAGAGACAGTAGGGTGCTCGTGCTTGACAGTAGGGCACCCTACCTAGGTGCGTTGCCGGACTTGAGTGGAACGCTGGGATGACGTGAATGGGCGGGCAGCAGCACTCACAGGAAGGTGAGAGCCTTGAGAGCAGAGTAGCTGCCAGGGATGGAACCTTCCAGCTTGTTCCCTTGCAGGTTGCTGTGAGAGAGTAGAGTGAGTAGGTTGATGGTGGGAGGAGGAGCGGCGGATCCAGGAGTGCTATCAACCCTGTTGTAAGAATATTCTATAATATCCTAGGGAAAAACTCCTTGCAGGTTTTTGGAGAGTGAGCAGCAAGGTACTGGACAGGCCGAGTGGTGAGATGTGAGGAAGAACCAAGAGCACCACTCACAGGCGTTCCAGTGCAGTGAGTGCGCTCCATGTCTCTGGGAGGAAGCCAGACAGGCCGTTGCAAGCAGCCAGACTGCAACACATTGGCTCCTCCACATCACACTCACAGGCGTTCCAGTGCAGTGAGGCGGCTCCACGTCTCTGGGAGGAAGCCTGAGAGGCCATTGCCAACAGCAAGACTGCAGCAAGAGACGCAATGCGGGGTGCAGCATGAGGGGCAACGCAGGGCGCAGGCGGCGTGAGAAGCTAAGGTGGGATTCAGGGGCGCGTGTCTAGATGGTAGAGCAGTCCAAGAAAGCTCACTGCTTGAGCAGCGACGGGTGCAGCACTGACAAGGTGGGTCACTGACAAGGTGGGGCACTGACAAGGTGGGTCACTGACAAAGTGCGGAGGCCGGTGAGGTGGTTGAGGTCGCGGGGAATGTAGCCCCTGCGCTGCTCGTACTGGTGCTGCACGTCTCTGCCAGGGCGGGCGGGTGCCAGGAGAAGTGTGCGCACAGGACAGGAGGGATCTTCGACACTTTCAAGGCAGACCAAACCAGCCAAAAAGTATGGTCAGGAAAAACTAGTGATTTCTAATGAGACATTCCTGGCTCATTCCTGGCACCACCTGGCACCGCTCTCAACCCCTCTGCTCAGCGCTCACATGTACTGAAGGCGCGTGAGGTCAACAATCCAGGTGGGGAAGTCAGAGAAGTAGTTGTAGGACAGGTCCCTGGCGGTACAGACGGGTAGAGAGCGGGCCAGTGGGAGAAGGTGGTGAAGGGGAGAGTTGGGAAATGAGGTGAACAAAGTGGAGGACGTAGTTGCAGGGCAGATACTTGAAAAAGGCGCTGATTTGGAGCGACGAAGTAGCCTCTCAGTGTGGTGCAACGTGGTGGGAAGTGGTGAAATGAGGCTAGATCCCGGCCAGGCCAGCCAGGAGCAGCACAGCGGCACCGAATGAGGCAAATTGGACGTTGAGAAGTTCAGAGGGGTTTAGAGCGGTGATTACAGGTGGGTGAGCTGAGTGAGGAAGCCGAGTTGATAGGGCAGCTCCCCTACCACTCTGCCCAGGTCCCCTAGCACACTGATGGCGAAATAAGTGGGTTACAATTGAGTGGGTTACAAATTAGTGGGTTACAATTGAGTGGGTTACAATTGAGTGGGTTACAATTGAGTGGGTTACAAATTAGTGGGTTACAACCAGAGGGCAGAATAGCATATTGGGATGCATGAGATCAGAAGCACTCGTGAACATGATCTCGTGCATCCCAATGAGGATGATTGGATATGAGGATGGAACCGAGAACATATAGAGAAACGCGTTGAGAAAAATAAGGTGGACTTCAGCAAGCAAGCGAGCGACACTCACAGCTTTTGCAGGCGGGTGAGTGTAGAGAGGCCGCTGAGAGCAGTCATGTGGCCGTCCGTCATGGCGTCGAAGCCAAAGAGCTCCAGCGTGTGCAGGCGGGTGAGGTGCGACACAAAGGTGAGCGTGTTGATCGAGCCTCCCACCTGGGCACCCTGCAGGTGAATGTTCCTGGGCGGTGGAGGGTGTGGTGGGTAGTGGAGGTTGATGAGAGACGTAGCAGGAACTTTCACAGAGGGGCTGATGGGGGTGATGGGGCTGATGGGGGTGATGGGGGTGATGGGGGTGATGGCGGTGATGGGGGTGATGGGGGTGATGGGGGTGATGGGGGTGATGGCGGTGATGGGGGTGCGTGGCAGAGAGGGTGCGTGGCAGAGAGTGTTGAGCTGAAGAGAGAGGCGTGGAAACGGGACCCACAGGTGGGAGAGCTTGGAGAGTGCAGTTAATGTGGACGGCAGCTCTCCTGATAGGGATGTGTATGCGAGGTCCCTGTGGGATAGATTGGGGGAGCAGGGCAGAGGATTATGGAAACAGGATAAAACGGGATGCAGGGAAGCAGGGGCAAGGAAGCAGGGGCAAGGAAGCAGGGGCAAGGAAGCAGGGGCAGGGAAGCAGCGGCAAGGAAGCAGGGGCAAGGAAGGAGGGGCAAGGAAGCAAAGACATGGTGCAGCATGCAAGAATTGCGTGGCACTCACAGGTGCTGGAGGTTGGTGAGGCGGGAGAAGGCTGAGGGAATGGGTCCGGATACTGGAGTGGCCGTGAGGTCACTGGTGCAAGGGTATACCATGCCACACCACGCCACACCGTGTCACACCATACCACACCAAAACCACGCCAAAACACAGCGCCATGAACATAAAAGAAGAAAGGGAGCACAGTGAGAGAGAGACTACAAGCCCCGTAGAAAAGTTCTGGAATCGTTGACGGAATGCAAGGCGAAGCAGCTAAGAGGCGGCAGATGAGCGAGAGGCATGGATGGGAGTGAGCAGGGGGAAGGAATAGAGGAGGAGGCAGGCAGAGGCAGCTCTCAGGCAGATTCGCCACGCCAGGCGTACTCACTCTTGCTCTCTGGGCACTCAGAGCAGGTATGTGCCAGGTTAGCCAGGTTCCTACTGGTAAGCCAGGTGGCACCTCAAGAAGCGAGGCCGCACAGAGGTCGCTTACAGATAAGCCAGGTTGGTGAGGGTGGAGAAAGTGTGGAGCAAGGTGCACTGAGGTGATTTTTTAGGCGCCTCTGAAATCACCGCAAGGGCAGAGGGGGGTCGCTTACAGATAAGCGAGGTTGGTGAGGGTGGAGAGAGTGTGGGGCAAGGCGCCCGACACAGCTGTATATGAGAGGTCCCTGCAAGGAGCGAGCGGGAACAGTGAGAGAGAGGGAGTGAGCCGCCGAGAGAGAAAGAGCGTCTCAAACTAGAGTGTGGGGCAAGGCGCCGGACACAGCTGTGTATGGGAGGTCCCTGCCAGCCATGGGCGATCGGGCACAGCGAGAGAGGGGGCGCAAGTAAAGGGGGCCCTTAGCAGGGTTCGCGACAAGCATGGAGGGTAGAGGTTGGGATAGGACTGAAGGGTTGGATTGGGGGGAGGGGGTGAGGATGAAAGTGATGAGCGCTTATGGGACTGGTCAACAAAGGAGAGGTGGTCAGCGGAGGCCTTATGGGCATCACATTGCTTGCGGCCATGCAGACTCAGTCTGGTTAGCTTGGGGCAGATGCAGCTTGGGGCAGATGCAGCTTGGGGCAGATGCAGCTGGGTGGAGGGAGATGGCATGCGGTGCCGTGCCTTGCGGTGCCGTGTGGTGCGGCGCGGTGCCGAGCCGTGCAGTGCGGTGCCGTGCAGTGCCGTGCAGCGTGGTGTGGTGCCGTACGGTGCGGTGCGGTGCAGTGCAGTGCCGTGCGGTGCGTCGCAAGGTCTCTCACAGGAAGGCCTCTTACACCACTGCAAGGTGTCTTACAGGAAAGCAAGGGCTGGTGGGAGGGCGACGGCATGCAGCTTTCCCTGGAGTTGAGGGCTGTTGGCCAGGCTCCTGATGGGGGAGGGGAAGCACCAGTCCACACGCACATATGTGGCATGCAGGGAATGTAAGCAGGACATACACAGGGGCGTGTGCAGGCACACCCGTGAGTGGTTTCATACACAGTACGTGACTTGCTCGCATGCGGTACATATACAGGTATAATAAGCACGTACATACACGTACATGCACGTACAGGCACGTAGACACGTACAGGCACGTACAGGTATGTGAGGCGCCATAGCTGGGTGAGTGCATAAGGAGGCAGTGAGCCTGACAACGTCCCCACTTGTGACAGGTCCCTGGGGCAGAGACACAGGGGGAAACACGAGCTTGGCAGGCAAGAATTCGGAGGGTAGGGCAAGAGCCAGGGGGAGAAATGGAGGTAGGAGTGAAAGGGGTGAGGCAGTAATATGGGCCGGCTCGTGACGCATATGTAACCACATGCATGTCGCTCACACGCAGATTGCGAGGCTTGTGAACTGTGCGGTGCTACCTTGTGTGACCTCACGGACTCACCCCCAGGCGAATCAGATCAGATTTCTCAAACGTGACTCACAGGTGGGTGACGAAGCCGTGAGCGTCGCATGTGACCCCAGCCCAGCGGTTGCAGGAGAGCGAGTGGTTGCTGTTGCTCGGCCATGCCCTCACAGCACGGTTGATAGCTAGCAGCGCACGCACTGAGAGAGGTGGAGTGCGGTGAAAGGAGATAGAGGGAGATGGAAGGCGGTGCATCAGCGAGCGGGTGATGTGGATTTTGAGAGAGTGCATATGGAGAGAGGAGAGGGACGGAAAGCAGCGGAGAACGCTGGGGGGAAACACGCAAGACACCGGGGGAATGACATTCAGATGACTGACATTTTGAGGAATGATAACCAAGGGAATGACGCTTAGGAGAACGACATTCAGGGAAGCGGCTGGGAATGTAGGGGATGAGCTGAGGTAGAAATGCGCCGATGTCAGGCTTCAGGGCAATGCCTGGGAGTCCATCAATACTAGATTCCAGACGCCTGACCTGAGAGCTTCTAGACGTTTTTGTTTGCCTGTCATGTGTTAGGCGTCTCGCCTCTACAGCAATACCAGCGATACGATCCATGTCAGATGCGGATGATGGGGGTAAGTGGAGAAAATGGGGACAATGGATAGGCCTCACGTTGCGACGGAGCGAGGGGAATCGATCCGCGAGGAACGGCGAGGGAGATCTCGAGGAGGCCATGGCGGTGACCAACGTTCTGAACGTTATACGCGTTATTAGCTGCACCACCGTGCGAATAGTTCGACGCTAGGGCCAATGCAATGTCTAAAAACAACAGGACGCTTACGGCAGCGAAAGTCATCCAATGTTGTTTCTTGTAAACTTCTATCATGGAAGATTAGGATGCGGAAGCTCTTATCGACCGCCTTCCAGCAAGCGCTATCTCAACCTAGATTCCGTCGAACGAAAAATGCCAGACTACCAGATAGCTGCTACTTCGCACGTTTCAAGACGACGACTGTAGCCACATGGAAATGCCAGGCTAGTAGTGATCGTTGACGATCCTTATCGCCTATCCTGATACGCAACTCTTGGCGTCGGCGGGAAAACGCACGAAGCAGGAACTGCTAAGAGCAGTTGGGAGGAACATACGACTTCGTTAGAGACTTTGACTGGGAGAAGATTCATCAACCTTGGGATTTGTGCTTGGGATGATAAAGTCGGTTGCATCGGCTTATGCGGTGGAGTCGCGAAAGTCAACTCCATGCTGTGCTGTCAGACAGTCTGCCACCGATATACGCGGTGTTGAATGCCGCAATTCTAATGCAGTTAAGGTGCTGAACTTGACACGATATTGCAGTTGTACGTATGGGCAAAGAATGACTAGGATGGATTTATTTTAAAAAACAGGTCATGAGTTTCGGGTGAACCTATCTTCCATTTCTGTTTGAATGTTGCCAGCACGCACAATGCACTACGCGTAAGACAAGGTAACAGATCGAGAGGAAGAAAATATATTGGTGACATAGAAGGCCAGCCAGCCATATGGCAACAGCTAGCAGGTCACTCCACTTCTGCCAGATAGTCATTCACTTCAGCTGGGGTTAGCACTCTGTCATTGCAACAGAGCACGTACACAGGAAGACGTACATAAAACAAAAAAAGGGTTCAGGTGACAAGACAGGCTCATATTTAAGTCCAGGGAAGCAAATACTTCCAACTCGCCGCGAGACGCAGGGTAACATACAACACACATTTCCTATATAACTCCTTCCCCTTCTTTCGCTCACTCTAGCACTCACCTGAATTTCTTGTCGCTGCCCACAATACCAATCTCAATGTTGTCGCCTGCAATTTGCCCCTCAAACCTGGTGAGAGAGTGCAAGATGGGAGGGGGAAGAAGAGGAGGGATTAAGAGCTGAGGATGACAGACCCAACAACAGCCAGACAGAGCAGAATCAACCAAGAAGCTTCCTTCAAGTCAAGAGGCATAGTGCTTCACAAGACGACACTCTTTCCCAGCACAGCTACAAAGAACCTTCCATTCCGTGAGAGTAAGAGGGGCCACACGTACCCTTCTTTGAGAGTGAGAATGGCCGTGTGAATCGCATCCTCTAGCTCCATGTCCTCCGTGTACCTGATACAGGCATGTACACCCCATACAAGCACACCCCATACAAGCACACCCCATACAAACACACCCCATACAAGCACACTCCATATAAGCACACCCCCATATAAGAACAACCCACGAAATGTTAGTCATTCACAAAAATCATAATCAAAACGCATTTTCAAGCACCAGCAACCGCCTGGGTTGAAAGGCAAAGTCGAAAACTATCACTCTTCCCCTTTCTGACCTCTTCTCAAGAAACGTCTTGGCGTTGGTCATGTTCTTGCCAATGGCGGAGGCCTTCCATGCGAAGTAGGAACCCGAGGGATCCACCTGGTACAGGTGCGGGCCCTGTGAGTCATACCCCGCCATCAACAGCGACACACCGAACGGCCTCACCCCCCTGTCGCGATGCATGGTGCATGTGGGTACGGTACATGTGTCAAGTGGGTATGGCGCACATGCAAGAACGGAGAGGGAAGAACAAGTGAAAGGTTGAGAGAGGTTGAGACATGAGAGATGCCTCATGCAGCATGCTCATTGATTATCTCTGCCTTTGCTCCTCCTCACGTACACTAGGCATGTTCCACAGGTTCAAGTTCAAACACTTTCAGAAGCCAGACTTGTCAACAACTGTAGCACCTGCCATTGTGAAATTACAACTTCACCTGACCGCATAGAACCCCCTGTCTCACCCGGATTGATTGAACTCCGGCATGACAGGCGATGTTTCCACCACTAACTGACTGCAAAACTAACGACTTTTTTCAGACGTCCAGATTGACTTTTTCCAACAACACAGATTGACTTGCAGGAGGCCCTGCCTCACCCTGACTGAGTGAACTCCTGCATGACCGCCGCTGTCTCCCGCACCAGCTGCGACACTGGAATGCCCTCCTGCCACATGCACGGGGGGGGTCACATGGGCATGAGAGGGGGTGAGGAGGAGGAGCACGGCGATGGGCATGTGTGGCACGGCGATGGGCATGTGTGGCACGGCGATGGGCATGTGTGGCACGGCGATGGGCATGTGTGGCACGGCGATGGGCATGTGTGGCACGGCGATGGGCATGTGTGGCACGGCACGTGGTGGTGAGCACCAGCTGTGACGGCGGAATGCCCTCCTGCCACATGAATGCACAGCGTGGTTCCACGAGGGCGTGTGAGGGACAGGGTGGGCTGGGGATGGGCATGAGCATGCGTGGTGGTGCAATTGGGAGGAGGCGTGGCAGAGGGCTGGGAGATAGGACCGAAAAAAAGGGTTGGGGGGAGCAATGTGAAAGCATATTATGCTTATTACGGGCGTCACCCTGTACTCGCTATAGCATGACTCACCTTGTACACACTGTAGTAGGACTGTGCTGACTTGCGGCTCTTCCTCACTAGCACCCGAGAGTCAGGCCCGATGCCACTGGCGGTGGAGAGAGCAGAGGGAGACAACGGAAAATTTTGGGAAATGTTGTGGTTTCCTAATCAAGGCCATCATCACTTCATGTTCACATGCGAGTGAGGCCGTTTGGGGGGTACATCGGTGCATGGGCACAAGACGTTGAGCCAGGACAGGACTGTGTTGGTGGGTTGGGAGAGAGAGGCACACCTGTAGACAACTCCCGAGTTGTCCGTGAGCAGTTGAATCTTCTTCACCTGAAACACGCACATGAGTGAACACCACAACAGTCACACCAGTCATTCCACAATGAACTACCAGCGCCTGTGAATCAACCTAGAAGTTGCCTGGGCGCAAGAAAGAGGCGTACCGAGGTCTCGTCTATGAGCTCTGTGGGAAGCTTCTTCTCCGTGGCGATCACCACGCCATTGGTCGCTGCAACGGTGGGATGCGGGAACGGAAATATGAAATTGCGGCGTGAGCAAGCAAGGGGGGTGAGCGGGGAAAATCAAGTCATGAGTAGCCTTGCGTTACAATAAATCCTTTCAAGCCGACTCAGAAACGGCTCGTGATGGCTTCTGTAGCGAGTATGGCAGTGTTGGAGGCCTGAGCGGACGGAACGGCACGCACCTTTGATGCCGAGCGACGTGGCACCGGCAGCCACAGCGTTGAGTGCATACTCGATCTGCACCAGCTTCCCTGACGGGCTGCAGACGACGAGGAGATGGGGGAGGTGGACGAGAATTAGGTCAGGAACGGAACTGGCAGCGACCCGTTAAAAAACCTGGAAAGTGTAACTGCAAGTTCATGTCGACAGAATCGCAGTAGAGAGGAGGGAAGGACGGGAGCACGGAGGATGAGGTATGCGGAATTATGACCTGAAGGTGGTGAGGGAGAAGGAGTATTGACTATCGCCCATGACGTCGCCGGATCTGCGACAGCTCGATGCGACTTAGATGCGACTGAACTTGAATTCAACACGAATACGACGCAAAGAAATGGAAGCGACGGAATACGGTATCGCCTAAGTGACCGAGAGAAATCGACGATAGCACCGGCGCGATGGATGTCTGTCGGACAACACACGGGCGTCACTTGGCGAGCCTATCACGCCGTCGATCTGAGGAATGAGAGCTGAATGTGGGACTACAGCGGTAGAGGAATGGGATTCTGCAGATGGCTGCTTCACGATGCAAGCCCCTCCTGACAAAAATGGTGTCACAGGGATGTTCACTTTGTGTTTGACGAGTTGGGTTGAGTGCAATGCCGTGCAATTTGAAGCGGTGATGCCTTCACCGTTCTGAACCGCTGGCGTCTATCTGTTCCTCACGAGGTCTCAAAGGACTTTGATCAACTCCCAGAAGTCTGTACGAGTTTCAGTGGACACAACCAGGTTAATGTAACTTATCGAGCCTCCAATAACGGATCCGTCTGAGAATTTCATTAGTCATCAATAACGGGGCAAGCTAGGCGCCAATTAGGGATTTCCGCTTCTCCCTGTAGCAACTAATTAGTCTATGCTCTTACCTTTTCTCAGCCGCCGCTTCAGGAACTCCCCGTCAGCTGCGCCGTGTTTACCGCTCAGAATCGTTGTAGAAATCACGAACGTGGTAGGCGGCATGAAGTGGGCGAATCTCGAGCCGTTGATTTCCGCGATTCGTGCATTCGTTCCCGAGCTCGCGTCGGCGAAACACAAAGGCCAAGCAGGTGAACCACCCGCATTCAGGTCGCTTTTCCCGCCTCGCAACGCAACCTCTCACGTGCGGTTTCTATTGCTGATCCCGCCTAGTGGCGTGGCCAGGCGGCATGAGAAAATCATGCCGCTCCGCATTCTCTGCGTCTCCGCACCTCTCGTTACAGGGAAGATCGCTGTGATTGGAGGATGCCGTGAGTACACGGGAGCTCCCTTCTTCGCCGCCTTCTCCGCGCTCAAGCTGGTGAGCGCCTCTCACGCTGGTAGACTAGTCGAATTTTGAGTCAACTCTCTACTCTCCGCCCTCAAGCTGGTGAGCGCCTCTCACGCCGATATGCTACTTTTGAGGCTTGGCCAAGCGGGCGCCTCAAAAGTAGTCTCCGCGCTCAAGCTGGTGAGTCTGTCTGTGCATCTGTCCATAAGGTCATGAGAGCGCCTCTCACGCCGTGCTGTAGGCATGCAATGGCACCAGCAGTAAGTGAATCTGTCTGTGCAGCTGGTTAATGAGGCTTTAAAGCTGGTGGGCTAGCCTGTGCAGCACCCCTCACGACGCTGCTCCCTGTCAAATATCCCCACCCCTTTCACCGACCCCATTTCTCAACTTTCTCGGCCGTTGTTATTCCCTCGTTATAATCACGCAGGGTGCGGACATTGCGCACGTGTTCTGCTCACGAGAGGCCGCGCCAGTCATTAAGGCCTACAGCCCAGAGCTAATAGTGCATCCGGCTCTCAGGGAATCCTATGATGTCAGGTAAGCAATTAGGTTCCCTGTTTCTACGAAATGAAGCTGTGACGTCTTTTTTGTCTATGGTAATAAACTTGCAGGGCAACGCTCAGTGCTGCTATTTGTAGATGCCCGGAGATTTTTCGTGCTTCGTCCCTTGATTTCAGGCTCGACACGCCAGGTCAGCGGAAAGAGATTGTGGAAGCAGCCGTGAGGACGGTTTCTGATTGGCTGCCGCGAATGGACTGCGTTGTGATTGGGCCAGGCCTGGGCAGGGACTCGCTGCTGCAGGAGTGTGTGGCTGACATCATGTCTGCCGCCCGGCAAGCACGCATCCCCATGGTGATCGATGCGGTGAGTCGTGCCTCGCATCCCAGCAGCTGTCATACATGTAGCTTTGACACACATCTATCCACCACATACCATGTCAACGCCAATTCTAATTCGCACCATGTTCCTCCTTGCAATGCCCTTGCAGGACGGCCTGCACCTGGTGTCTAACCAGCCGCACCTCATCGCCGGCTACCCTCTCGCCATTCTCACACCCAACGTCAATGAGTTCGCTCGCCTCTCTCAGGTTGTCGCATCTCAGCGTGATTCCACAGCAGCACCAGCAGCAGCAGCTGCTGTTTCTTCCGGGCCGTCCAACCCGGGCAGTTCGCTTGCACAGCTAGCAGCAGAGTGGGTACTTGCATGTAGCACTACAAATTATACTATTGCGATGTCCTGGGTCGTTTTTTGCAGAAATAGTTTCTTTGTCCTGACTGAATTGCTCTTTAATTTGTCCTCTCTACCTGGCTGCAGTCTTGGAAGGGTCACAATAGTGCAGAAGGGAGCAGCTGATGGCATTTCAGATGGAAATGCAGGTACCATACTAAGAGTTTCTCGAGCATTACCACTGCGACCCTTTGCACACCTCTCAAACTCTCTTGGTTCTTTTGCCACCCCACCAGTTTTTGAGTGCGGTCTCTTTGGATCACCCAGGCGATGTGGCGGGCAAGGGGATGTGCTCTCAGGAAGGTGCGATGCAATTCTATCCATAGCTTTCTGATGCAGTTAATAACCAGCAGGCAGTTGCTGTGCTGCTGCACTGCACATCACCTCATGATCTCTTGGCTTGTTGACATGGCATGTGCGAGTTTCCCTGCTACCAGCATCGCAGTGTTTTTCGTCTGGGCTCGCAAGTGGCAGCAGCGGCTACAGGAAGAGCAGCAGCAGGGTGGCGGTTCCTCAGACGCTGAAATGCAGCAGCTAGTGGCAGAGCAGCTGTCTGACAATCCAGCAGTCATGGCAGCATTTGCCGGGTCGCTGGTGGTGAGGAGAGCGGCAGCAGATGCCTTTGCCAAGCACAAGCGCAGCATGACCACGACCAACATCATTGATTGCCTTGGCGATTGGTAAGGAAATATATCTTGGTACATTGTGCCATTATGCTATGTTTTTGCCCTCAATGTCCTTATGCTTCTGGTCTGTGGTGTTTTGTTTTTTGTTTTGCCTGCTGTTTTGCCATCAACAGTGTCGAGGACCTTTTCCCTGTTGGTCCATGGGAGCCACAGCCAAACCTCTGACTCAACATGTGTGGATAATGATGCGGATCCAGTTGTTTGCTCTGCCTGCTTATCATGTAATGTAAGCACGATTCAGTGAGGGAATCAAACCTAGTACCGGTATATCATCAGGCTCTAGAACAAAGTGTACAGATCTTCTACTAATGCTGCTAGTATCAACAGAAGCGTGTGGCAAATGCTAACCACATCAGCCCAGCAGAAAGCCCAAAGAATCATAATCATGTGTTGGGTCATGGGAGGAAGATACGGGTAGCAATCAAAAGGACAGGCAGGCAGCTTCCTAGGAAAGCCTTGCCCTCAACAAGCCCTCTAGGAGGCATTCTCCTGTTCCTGTCCCACCTTGCGTCCCAGAACATCACGCAGGAATGGCCAGCGGAAGTGGGCCTGGGAGCGAGTGAGCAGCGGCACTCCAAACTCCATGTTGGGGCTCTGCAACAAGCAACATCACCACATTAGGCAAGCCAATGATGCAATTCAGGGGAGCAAACCAGAATAGGTAGGCGCATTCGTAGAGTTGCAACAAAATCTGGCTGGATGAACATACCATTGTGCAGATGCCAATGTCAGTGCGGCAGACGGGGTACTGCTGAGGGCAGCAGTGGTGGTGGTCGTCGCAGCAGGTGGCATGCTCCATGGGACAGCATCCCCACGACAGGCAAATCTTTCCAAGGGGGAGTCCGCAGCAGCAGGTGGTGCCGTGAGGGCACTCGTGCTTGCGGTCACACACCTCAGGAGAGGGAGGAGGAGTGGGAGGAGGCTGAGGGCCGGGAGGTGGGTTGGGCCCCTTCTTGATCGGATAGGATGCCTGCATGATGCCAACCACAAGGAAACGTGAGTGGAACAGTTGACACCCGCATGGAGGAACGAAGGGAAATACGTCACGGCCAACAGTCAATTACATTCACGTGGGGGATCAAGAGAAACCGACGCAGGTGTAAGACATGGCTCCGTACCTGCATGGCAATACCGCACTGTCCCTCCTCAGCTTCAACATTCCTGACCAGCCTGATGAAGCCGTGGTCACCCCAGCGAGGACCCCACGAGTTCTTCACAATCCAGTAATCAGTTCCGTTCTCTGTGCCGTATCCGACGGCCAGAACGCCATGGTCCAGATCTGTGCCGCACTCACCATCGAAAATACCCTGAGAAATGACAAAATTTAGGCTGTTAGCTTCGACAAGAAAAAAGAAATGCTGCGCTAAGTGTAGATTGTTCGTCTAATGCCACTCACACTCGAATAGAACTGGAATTCCCGACGATCCGCCTCAATTGCGACGGAAACAGGCTGAACCGCAAGCGCCTTCTTGAGGCCGGCCTCGCTGTTGGAAGGAACGTCTTCGAAGTCGTCAATTGTGACAACGTGGGTGTTCATCTGAAAGTGAAAAGAGGGATCTGTATTAGTTCATGGATCCTTATACTGGTATGTGTAAGCGTCGTTTGTATTTATTTCTAAGGCAATCGCTTACCTTGGCCTTGTTGCACTTGTGCGCTGTTGCGTCGTAAGGATAATCCTCCTCCGTGTCAAGACCGCCGTTCTTAATGATGAATTCGAACGCGAAGTCCATGAGTCCACCACCACATCCCTGATCCTTCTTCGTGTCGCAGTCAACCAGCTCCTGCTCTGACAGCGAAATTAGCTCGCCAGTCACGATCTTGTTGATACCCTCAACAGCTCCAGTAGTGGAAAACGCCCAGCAACTCCCTGCAAAACGCCAGAATAAAAAGTTCAGAAATTGTTTCTAAGATTCAACAAATTTCGCGACGAGTAGTTAAAAAAACAAAGAGGAGACATCATGGTGAAAGGATCAGTGACGTTACCGCATTGACCCTGATTCTTGACTTCAGTCACCGCTCCCTCCTTCCGCCAGTCGACTTCTTCCGGAGCGTTGACATCAGCGTGCATGAAGTTTCCGCGAAGCGGCCTGCCGCTGCGAGAATCCATGTCTTTACGGAAGCCCAAGCGCGATGACTTGAACTCCTCGTGCGACAGGTGAGCGAACTCATTGAGAGCAAGAGTAAACTTCTTGCCCTGCGAATTCAGGTTGTGAACGAAGTGCAGGTTATCGACGAAGGTGCGAAAGCGAGACTCCTTCTCAGCAACTCCGAAAACCTTGCCGTGCTTCACGGACCATCGCTCGAACAGGGCCTGCAGCGAGACTTCATTTGCTAAGTCCGAAGGAGCGTAGCCCAGATCCGCACGAGCAACGCTGACCAGACAGCACCAAGCAACCAGAGTCACGACCAGCGTAGCAGATGCCATTGCGGAGGCCTGGACAATCTGTGATCAAACCCAAGAAACTACCGAGATCAAACTGAGCATGACAGAGCAAACGGAATATTGCTTCTTGTAAGTTCCTGTGTCACCCTGGACACGCCACCTGCTATCCTGCCTCCCCTTTTCTTCCAAACCAAACCTCTCCAGTTGATGTCCCCCCCAACCCCAAGCCAAGCTGGGAACCTCTCCCGAAACAAAAGCACCACCCTTGGGAACTGCAACAGTTGAGAACTTGAAGTTCGGGAGTTTGCGATAATCGCAACTGACGGCTTCCCTAAGTTAGCGATCGTCGCGCATTCATGAATTTGTCGCTCCGGTTCTCGTTGCGCACGGTTACCAACCAGTCCCAGCCAGGTTCAGAGTGAGGGGCAGATGTGGCACGGCTGACACAGCACTGCGTGGACAGCAGCAAAAGTAGCTCAGCCTGGTCCCCACTGACAACTTTTCAGCAGTGGCTTGTCTTACGATTGGAGGATAATGTTGACACTCACCAGGATATTGCCACGCGACACCACTTTGAGATAAAGCCGTCGATCTGCGACACCACTCCGATCAATCTGAAGGCGCCACCAGGCGGGCAATCCAATGGCTGATGACTGGATTCGAACCTTGCCTCCAAATTGGTTGGTTGGATGGAACAGTTCGTCAGTCGGAATTGAAATCGTCAATCTCAACCACACGGAACCATGCCGAAACCGTTTGAATCTGATTATGCCGTGACAAATCCTTGTGGATGTCATCACAATCTCAGCACTCTAGCTGCTGCTTCTACACGTAGATGTCGCACCACGTTTGTGCAGAAGCTGTGTACGAGTTACAATCTGCTTCGCCGCTGTCGTCAAGTCTGCGTAACTCTTCGTCATCGGATATAAAAAACAACCTGTTACCAAATCATCAACAGTTCTTGCAAATGCCACATAGCTATGTCGAGTAGGAGGCTGGAGTAGGCGAAGGCTGGGATTTGATTGAACAGAACGCTCCAGCTCCAATAGGGTTAGGTGGGCTCTTATTGGGCGGCACACCCAGTTTGAAAGTTAGTGTAATTTCGGACCCGTGTCATATTCCTTCATATCGGTTCAAGCCCTTAAATGTTCGGCCAGATTACGTATGCCGGCTTTCGTTGAAGCAGCTGGGGGTGGACTTAGGAAACTATTGGCATATGCGTGTGGTCATCGGCGCTAAGGTAAGAGGGATCAACCGGGGTAAAGCTATGCCTCTCGAGAAGCGAGAGATTCGGCAAAGAGGGGTATCGCTAAGGAGCAAGGACATGGGAGGACGCGTACAGGAGAGGAGGCGGAGGAGGGGTAGCATGCGGGGAGAGTCGTCAATGTCGTATCCGATGTAACCGTATGTGATTCATCGGACGCATTCGCTAGCGCAGCCGCGTTGTTTCATTCCTCTGCTGCTTCCTGCTCCCCCTCCCCCAACCTTCCTCAGCCTACAGCTCCCCATGTCAACGCAGTAGTAGCCTGACATCCGAGCCTCGCTGCTAACTTCGGCATGGCCGAGCCTGTGACTCTGGGTCGGTTCTTCGGAGCGTTGGGCAAGACATGGGCGCTCATAGGCGCGCTTTATCTCTTTGACAAGTACTCACCTCTGGGTTGGTGGACGTTCAAACCTCGCCCTAAGGTGGGTTGCGTGTCCTACGTTTAGTTTGTTTGTGTTGTGTTGCTTACATGCACGCACATACTTGACGCATCCCATCATTTGTGCAACCTTGGCACCATCCATTCTCATACGGTCTCTTACCCTCCCTTTTGCTTCCTTTTCAACCCCAACCCCCTTTCCCCGCCTCCCTCTCCCCCCTTCCCCGCCTCCGTCCCCCTCATCCTCCTGGTGCTTCCGCTCCTCTCCTTTCACCACGAAACCACTGACAGGAGGAGAGGGCCATGGCTCACTTATACGAGAGGGGCCCCACGCCTTTCCCAGGGGACGCAGCTGCCGGCGATCCACACGCAGTGGACCGGTACTTTGAGCGCGGCGGCGTGGCCACCACCGTCGTGCCGGCCCGGTTCCGCCAGTCCTCTTCTGCTGGCAGCGCTGGCACAGACGTGGCGGGGCGGCGGGCAGCGGAGGAGCAGAGGGTGAAGCGGGAGGCGCTGAGGCTGTGGCTGCGCATGAGGAGGGAGGCTGAGAGGGAGCTGAAAGCACAGGGTTATGATCCGATGCAGTGAGGCTGTGAGGGGATGGGGGCGTAGTTTTATGCTATGAGGAGAGTACTCATGGGGTTGGAAGAAGTGGTGGATTCGTGATTTGGAGGAATAGTGGCTTGTGAGAGGTGTTGATGCTGTGGCTGTGTTGGGTTGGGTGGCAGTCCAAAGGGGTTGATAGCATTTTAGATTCCTGTTCACTAGTCGCACTGAAAGTCTTTTATTGCCGTACCGTAACATAGGGCGTGACTTCGCCAGTCCAGTCCATTTGTGACTGGCCGGAAAAACAAATCTGAGGGATGGCTTACAGTCCTCCACGCGTGCTTGTGCATGTGGGTGTGCTACCGTATCATAAGGTGCTTGTGTGGAGTGCATGCACATGTCTCGTGCTGCCAGCCTGGAGTCATCTGTGGGCTGTATGCTAGAAAGGCATAGTGCCGTCGTAGCGGAAGCTTGATTGTAGAAAGTAGCAAGAGAAACTTTGCAACTGAAAGGACTCAAAACAATGGAATGGTTTGTGGCACCACACAGCAAGGTATTTATCCAGGCACCTAACCCTCCAAAGTCCACCCATCCACACCAATAATGGTGCACCAATAATGCTACCCACCAATAAATCTTACCCTCCAATAATTCTAGACCCCCAATAATTCTGGCCCTACAATAATTGCACAATTATTGTAGGACCTGGAGTCTTATAAAGGGTACTACACTAATATCTAACAGCATATAAATTTACTTTATGATTGTATTTCCAACACTCCCCCTTGCTGTAGATTTTAGTGAGTTTGTTTGTGGAGGATAACGTGTAAATGGCGTTGATTGCGGAGGCGATAGGGTGGTGGAGTGGAATCCGGAACTGATTTTGGTCACGGCGGTAATTGCGGTGAAGACTCAGCCGTTGGGTTTCCGTTGACACCGCGTTGGTCGGAAACACTGTTGCAGCAGTTACGATGTCTCCCGCACGTTCCCAATTTCCTCAGATGCACGTTTCCTTGCTCAGGTGTTTCGCTGCTGCGCTCTGATTCTCCGCCTCAAAATTCTCGCGACCCTCGTTCAGGTCGAGGGTTTCTGGTTCTCGTCCCACCCTCTCGAACTTCTGTGCACTGGAAGCTCCCCTGTCAGGCTCTTTGTTCAGTTTGTCGCCATGCACTCCTCCCGTTTCTCCCACACCCTTCTCCAGCAGGGGTCAAGTCATTTCGCCATTTCCGATTGCCACTTGTCTCGTTTAGTGCAGGAGCTTCCAGATCGATAGTTTCCTAGCCATGGCTGCTGCCACCGCTGACGATGTCCACGGTCAGCGCGATTCCCAGCAGCAGAGCGGATTGCCTCCCTTCGTCTTAGGATAGCTGCTGCTGGCGAATATCTTCATGGCGCACGGCTTCTTTCTGGTCATGTGACCTAGGACGCGCTGCTTTTTCCGCCTTCCAGTGCTGACCCGATTTCCTTTGCTGTCGCGCGACTGCTGCTTTAGTCGTGACGATTTTCTGGTGTGCGTTGTGCTGCGCCATGGCGCGATGTCCTTCAGCTGTAGCTAGCGCGCATCACTAGCGCTCGCCATGTCATGGCTGGCGCTCTGTGACAGCAACGCACGTGGCGACCTGCAGCGCCAGATGCGCGGCGTTTCCTGCGGCTGCGGCCAGATCCGCGACTGCTGCTTCGGTCGCGCGGCTGCCGTGACCTCCTCGCTTGACAACCTGCGCGCTGCAGCTCCTTGCGCGCGACTGCTGTTCATGGCGCCCGTGGCGATCGGCAGCAGCGGCGACTGCAGCAGCATGCGCGCCGCTGCATTACATCGCATGTGGCGGCTTCTGCTGGTGCGCGCCCTCCCCTTGCCATTTCGGGCGACCTTGTGCTAGTGACGAGGTGAGTAGCCCTTCTCCGTGTAACTACCACTGCTTGCACCTTGACCTCACTCATGTGTGTTTCTTGCAATTGATGTACTGCAGCACTGACCGTGATAAGTCACTCGTTACTGCTCCCACATTCTCTTGTGATTTTCCTTGCCCCCGCCCATACCAGCTCGCGAGCGTGAGCGGCTGCAGCCGGCATCGGCACCTGGCGCTCTGGCGCGCACGTCTGCAGCTCCTGGTGGCGCACGGCTGCTGCTCCTGGCGGCCCACTGCTGCTACTTCTGGCGGCGCACGGCTTTCTCCTTCCTACCGAGGTGAGAATGCTTCATCGAACCTGACTGTTTCACCCATGTTACCCGTTGTACCCTGTGATGTTACCCTGTGCTGCCCCCCTTGACCCTGTGTTGCTCCATGTTGCCCTGTGCCACTCCCCCTATACCAGGTGGCGGACGGAAGCAGCTTCAACTGGTACACAAGCACCTGGCGGCTGCTCCTGCACCTGGCGGCTGCTCCTGCACCTGGCGGCTGCTTCTGCAAACTTCTGCCAGCACCCCCTGACTGGCGGCAGTAGCATCACCGGTCGCTTGCAGCAGCTCCCCCTGACGCCCTGCAGTCATGAAGCCCTGCAGCACCGGGCCTGCAGCAGTTCTCCCTGATGCCCTGGCCGCTTGCACTGGTGCAGCTCTAGCACTGGGTGGCAGCGGTATCAGCAGCACCTGTGTCACCTTGGTGAGCAGTCCCAGCAGCGTCTGACTCCAGCTGTCTTCCCTTGTATTTAGTAGGACTTTGTCAGCAGTTTCTTGTGATTTCCTCTGTCTGCTTGCCTCATGCTGACTCATGCTGACTTGTTTCTTCCCCCCTTGAAACCAGCAGGCATATGAAGTCTTCAGGAACGGCCGTTGCAGTTGGCGAGTGGTTGTGACCGACCAGCAACGACTGTCCAACAGAATTTTGATGGCTGCTCTTGTCACTGATTGCAGTAGGTCTTCTCGTGATGCATATGTGCTGACTCTTGTAATGGCGAAAATGAAAGATGGTTGTGTGATCAGATCCCGAATGGTTGCACCCAAAAATACTCCACACCCCACTCCCCCTCTCACTCGTGTGTTGGTAATCATGCACATGCGTGAGCACGCACACAGCATCAAACACATGAGTGAGATGTGTGGAGTTACGTGATGCCTTGTTGTCCAGCACCCCTTGAGAGGCCCGGACATGAGCGTGCAGCTCCAGCGGCTTCAATGTGAGGACTGGGTGCAGACGGGGCTCCATGTGGAAGTGGTTAGAGACCGCACAAGAGGCTGCAGGTGAGATGTTGCTTTGCTGTGAGGGGCTTGGTGAGATAATCCGCAGCCTGCTGAGCTGTCGGGCAGTACTCCGGCCGCACAACTCCATCACGAACGGCCTTCCGCGTCCAATGGTAACGTACGTCCATGTGCTTGATGCGTTGACTCATCTGCTCCCCGGTTGTCACAAGCACGAGTAAAAGTTTAGAAGCAGAAAGAGGGGTTGCACTAGCAAGCAGTTCAGTACATATAGGAAACCCTAGATTGGGCTGTACTCGCTATAGAGTACCCCACTGCAGGCTAGACAAATACAACATTCTGACACACCCCCATAGCCAAAGTGGGGTGTAATCAGCAGAGCATGCAGTCATACAGCAGGTTCACAATTGCAAGCAAAGCTAGAGGCTATCACAGAGGGCAAGTGAGGAGGAGGAGAGACTGTTGGGGCGAGAAGATGGAAGGCGACTGCTGAAGCTGCAGACACACAGGAGCTGCTGGCTCAGTGGCTACCGAAGCAAAGGCCCGGGCTACAGGAGTAACTGGCTCCGCGGAGATTGTAGCCTCCTGACTGAAGCAACTGACCCACAGGCGACTGGCGACTACCGGAGATTGTAGCCTCCGGACTACTGGCGCTGCTGACGACACGACGGCTGCCTCCACTCAACCCCCCCCAGCTGCCCCACGCCCTTATCACACACCCCCTGCTGCACCCCTAGTTCCACTCCCACGACACCCCCCTAGCACCACTCCTTCGGCTCCCACACACCCACCCCCCTGAGCGGCAGCTGCAGCAGCGGGAGACGGAGGAGGAGGAGGAGTAGGGGACGGCGCACACAACCGGCACCCCCACAACCGTCACCCCCACACTCCCCACCCCCAAACCCTAAAACGGGTGGCAGGGGGTAGGAGCGCGGGGGACGGCGCGCGGCCCCCAGGGCGCCACCACGGGGCAGCGAGGGGCCGCGCGCGGCTCCCCAGGGCGCCGCGACGAGGTAACAAGGGGTCGCGCGCGGCTCCCAGGGCTCCGCGACAGGACGGCAGGGGTCGCGCGCGACACCAGAGCGCCGCGACGCGACGGCAGGGGCCGCGCGCGCCTTGCCCGGGCGCCGCGACAGGACGGCAGGGGCCGCGCGCGACACCCCAGGGCGTCGCAACGGACGGGCGGGGGGCGCGCGCGGCTCCCTAGGGCGCCGCGACGAAACAGCGGGGGCGGCGCGCCAGGAAGGAAAGGGGCCGCGCGCCCCGGGGCGCGCGCCAGAGAGTAAACCGCCGCGCGCGGTCGCACGCCACGGGGCGTGCGACAGATCAAATAGCAGCGGAAGCAGGTTGGTGGGCCCACAGGCCAAGGAAGGACTCGCTCTGATAGCATGTCACAAGCACGAGTAAAAGTTTAGAAGCAGAAAGAGGGGTTGCACTAGCAAGCAGTTGAGTACATATAGGAAACCCTAGATTGGGCTGTACTCGTTATAGAGTACCCCACTGCAGGCTAGACAAATACAACATTCTGACACCGGTTGCAAGTGCAATTGCGCTTTGGTTATCCACAAAGATGACAGTAGGTTCTTGTTGTCGAAAACCGAGGTCTTCACACAAGCGGCGAAGGTATGTGGCTTCCCTTGCCCCTTAAAACAGTGCAATGTATTCTGCTTCAGCTGTTGATGTCGCAATGACCGTTTGTCGTTTAGTCCTCCAACTGACAGCAGCTCCTCCTAAGGTAAACATGTAGCCTCCAACTGAGTGACGCCCTTCTTCGTTCGCATAATCCAAGTCCGTGTATCCGCGGAGCACCAAGTCTCCTCCTCCATAGACCAGCCCCATGTCTGCAGTGTTCTGTAAGTAGTTGAACACCCTGTGGATTCCGAGCACTGTTGCTGCTGTTGGTTTGCTTGCTTGCCTGGCTAGCACATGCGCCGCATAGGTTATGTCTGGCCGCCCTGCTGTTGAGATGTACAGCAATGTCCCAACTTGTTTCAGCACCAATTGACCATCAATCTCGTCCGGTGGTTCTCCTTGTGGTCCAGGTTCCTTGGCGATTGGTGTTCGTACTCCGGAACGGCTGCCCTCCATCCCGAATGTCGCCAAAGCCTGTGAGATGTACTTTGTGAGTCCGAGTGCGATCGAGTCATTGTCCGCGGCGACGTTGAGCCCCAAAAACTGCGTCATGGTCTTGCTGACTGTCAGGGTAAAGTTCTGCTTCAAGTGTTGAATCACATCTTCAATGCCTTCTGCGTCATGAGACTGGATGAGGATGTCGTCAACGTAGGTGAGTAGCCACACCGTGTCCTTTCCGTCTCTTTTCCAGATAAACAGAGATGGGTCTGATTCGGATTGCACCATGTCCAGCTCCAGCAAAACACCCCGTAAGTGTTGATGCCACAAGCGTGGTGCTTGCTTCAGCCCATATACACTTCTTTTGAGTTTCCAGACTTTGTCTCCGTCCCGCCTTGGTTCTGGTGGTCTCACGTATATGTCCCGGTCGATCGGAGCGTATAGGAATGCATTAGAGATGTCCAGTTGCACCACCTTTCGCTTTGTAGCAGATGCACCAGCAACGAACACGCGAGAGGTAGGTCCTTGGCTGACCAGTGCATACGTCCCATCGTATGTCCCCCAAGTTTGGCCGCATCCCTTGACCACCCAGTGCGCTTTGAACCGGTTTGGCTGTCCGTGCTCATCTCGTTTCACTCGTAAAACGACTCCTTCCGTCAGCACCGGTGTTCCTTTTGGTACGTCCGCTCTGTCCACCACTTCGTATGCGTCCAGATCATCGAACTTGGCCAATTCTGCATCCCCAGCGGCTTGCCAAAGAGGTGCGTACGGGTCCTTGGTCACTTCCTGAAGTGTTTTTGGCTCTTTGTATATCAGCTCCACCATGGGGACGCCGGTTGCTGCACATCCCAGTGCGTTCTGCTGCTGCAAGTTGGGAAATCGTGTGAATGTTTGTCCTGCCTGCCGCCTCCCAAACAGTACGTCCAGTCCTGTCATGTTGTCCGTCCCTTGTCCTTCTCCTCCAAGCACTGTCACCGTTGGGTTGAAGTGAACCCGCCACGGTGGCACGTCAGGAGCAGCCATCGGGATCCCATCGGGTGGGTAGGCATAGTCGTACAGATGACTTGCTTCATTTTCTGGTTCGTTGTTGTCAGCACCTTCACAAACAGAGATGCCTGCCGCTGGTAAGTCACTTTTCGCTGTTTCTTCTCCTGTATCGGCTTCAGTAGCTGCTGGTGGGTCTTCTTGAGCTGCGTCATTGGTCTTAGTTCCATGTTGTTCTGCTGTAGTGACGTCAGAAGATGACGTGGAGGAAGTGTGAGATGCGAGAAAAGAGTCGAATGCTGACCCAACGTCCTCTCCCCCTGAAGTCCACTCCGAGATATGAGGTGAGACTTCATCCATGTACCGTTGGCGTTCGAGCAGAGACTCGGCGTCCGGGAGCATGAGGTCGTCAAAGAAACGAGCTGAGCGTGTGTCCGTGTCAACGTCGCTTGCCAAGTCCCGTACGATCCATGTTTTCGTGAGTTAGAGAGGCCGAGAAACATGCCAGCCCGCCCTCGTTGTTCAAATTTCCCAAAGCTGCCTTGGGGAGGGAGATAGTAGCAGAGGCATCCGAAGGTCCTGGCCATGGAGACATCTGCTGCCTTTCCCGTCATCATGAAGTACGGTGAGTGTGCGGATGGGTTGCTGCTGCAGCTGATGCGGTTGTGTAACCATGCCGCATATTCCAGCGCATAAGGTCAGAACTTTGAGGAAAGGCTGGCCCCGGTAGTCATTGCACGCACTCGGTCCATGAGCGTTCGGTTAACCCGCTCGGCGACTCCATTCTGCTGCGACGTGTGTGGTAAAGACGTTTGGTGACTGATGCCTTGAGCACTCAGATAATCTGTGAATGCATTGGCTGTATACTCCCCTCCATTGTCCGTGCGTAAGGCAGCCAGCGGTTTCGTGGGCAACTTGGTCTTCATTTCGCGATGCCAAGCCGAGAAAACAGTTGCCATGTCGGATCGACGAGCCAACGGCGCCACCCACAGGTAGTTGGTGTAGTCGTCCTGAGCGTCAACACATAGCGAAGTGAAGGGTGAGCATCACCCAGGTCCATGATGTCGCTATGCACGAGCTCCAAAGGTCAAGTTGTGGCATTGGTACTTCCTGTGGGAAAGGGGGCCTTGCTCATCTTCCCTCGAAGACATGAGTCACATGGGGGTTTGAGAGGGTTAGTCTTGTCGGATATGGTGAGTCCCTCAACATCACCATTTCGAAATGTTGCATCTATGGATGTGTATGATGGGTGACCCAAGCGCTTGTGGGCCATGCGGTATGTGATGGATGCATGCGCTGAAAGTGGATTCAGCCCTTTATGACCATGATCATGCGAT